TGTGAAGCTGGGTCTTGAGAAAACTGTGACTTCTACAGATCGTAACTGACAAACGATGATGTAAAAAGCAGTAGTGTGTATATATATATATATTTAGGTATCTGTATATGATGTAAAATCAGATTGTTCTTTTCTTGTCATTGTCAAGATGTGGTACTCGCACAGCTTTACATCTTCTCAGTCTGTTGGTTCAGAATCCTACAATAGAAGTTTTTACCAGCGGGGGAATTGCATTTGCCGTCCCTCCTCCGATCTCACTGTTGTGCTTGCCAAGGGCTCGGTGAGGAGATGCAGCTGGCCTGGGTTAGACCTGGACATTCCTGTCGTGTTTTCCCCTAGTATTTGATTAAACATTCTGGGGCAGGAAGTGCAGCAACATTAAGCTAGATGCTTAGGAAATCTGGTTGCTGTCCAGTTGCTTATGTAGTTTAAATGAAGCTCTCTTAAATCTTCAGGGCAAAGATGATGTTTACGATCGTATGCTGCTAGACTACTTCTTTTCTTATCATCAGTTCATCCATCTACTATGTCGAGTTGCAATCAACTGTGAAAAGTTTACTGAAACTTTAGTTAAAATGAGTAAGTATGAAGGTTAAACAGCCTAAGGATTTTTTTTTTTCTGTGATAACTGTGAGCGCTTCTCTCCACTAAGTTTTATATTCAGGTTTTTAAGGAAAAGCAGAGCTTGTGAAACTTGCTGCATTAATTGTTCTGGACATTATTTTTATCCACAAAGCTGTACGACGTGTATAATGTAGTACAGTCTCACCTACGTGGCTGTCACGCTTTAGGCCTGTCCAGAAAGGAGCTGAGACAATCAGTGGGGTTCAGTCTCCTTGCAGACATTACTAGAGGTTGATACAGGACTCACTGAAGCTGTTTGGGTTTTGGTTTGGCAGTTTAAATGGCTTTGGATCAGATCCTGCATCCTCAGCATCTCTGCTGATGGCATTGCCTGGCACTCTGCCCAGGAGCATACCTGACCATCTAGACAGCCACAGGTGGCACTGGTTGGCGTTACCAGCCTGGGTTTATTTCACTGCATAGTTTTGGGAATCATCACAATGTTTAATTAAGATTATAATTAAATTTATAACCTTCAGTCGTGTAGTTTGTACCTGATACTTGTTTCAGCTCTGCTAGTAGATACCACCAGCATTTGGGTTTCTTCCTGCCACAATGTAAACCTGGGTTTTTGGGTGTGTGAACAAGGTGTTTGTGGCTTTATCTGCCCGACTGCTCCAGCCATGCAGCTGGGTCTCTGCAGGAGAGCTTCCTGCCTTGAATTGCCCTGTGACGTCCAAAGGCTGAATCTGCTGTTGTTCAGGGTTTCCCTTAGCTCCTTCGTGGTCTAGGTGACAGTGGGGCTTAGGTTAATAGTGAAGATCACCCTTTAAAAGTTACCTGCTGGTTTTAAAAGAAGGTATTTAAAACCTGCAAGTGCTGCTGCTGACCAGTTGAAAATTTGACAGTAATAAAATAACCTGATTACAAACCCAGAACTAAAGCTAGCTCTTTAGGTTTTTTACATTTCACAGAAATACTGAAGGGATACATGTATTTATTAAACATACTGGAAGAAATTCACAGACGATAAGTCTTTCCGAGTATAAAAAAATGCTTCAAATGTCGTCTTATAAAACAATATGGCACCTTGGTACCACTTTTATCAGGAAGTGAGTTATCTTCAACAGAATTCTCACACAGTAACTTATTTCCTCATAAAATTTCAGGTGTCCTAGTTGCATATGAAGGTTTGCCACTTCACCTCGCGCTATTTCCCAAACTTTGGACCGAGCTTTGTCAGACTCAGGTAAGAGTCAGTGAGTTTGAGAACTAATGGAATGGAAATACAAGGAATGTGAAACAGAGATTAACTCGTAAATTGTAACTAGTAACCCATAAATTAAACTGTTGTTTAATCATTCAAAATTCTAGTACTTTGAATAGAAAATAACTCTGCTTATGTTGCCTGTCATCTGATAAAACCTGATTAAATCAAGTATAAAAATCCAGCAGATTGTCTTTGCTCCCTGTACGCCCCAGGTCCTGCAAAAACTTGGGCAGCAACTCCACGCAATACGTAATGGTGGCGGGATGGTAGCCTGGGTGTGTACAGAAACTACTGCGTCCTGCCCCTGTGAATTCCCAGCTCTTTAGGCAGCGTACATGTTGGTATGGTGAAATAAAAACTGGGCGATCTCTAAGTCTGGGTATTGCTGTGTGCGCACTGTAAGAAGGGGCCTCTGCACCTTGGCCAGAGGACCCTGTAGTCAGCTCACAGGTTAGGAGGCACCGGCCCTTTGCATCCGTACTGATGGTGGTGAACTGGCATTCCTACGGAATAAACCTCATAAAAGGAAAACATGAAATAATAATTGATAATAATGGATTTGTACAATGTACTGATACCTCATAGACCTGAAATATTTGTATCGGTAAGAATGGCCCGGTATGAGTTAGGCATATCAGCGGGCCTGGCTAGGTGTCTCCAGCCGAGACAGCCGTTACAGACAGCGCTGCCGCAGTGCCATGCTTCCAGTGGTCTTTGCAGTCTTCTCTCTCTTCCCCAGTCCGCAATGTCAAAGAACTGTGTAAAGCTCCTCTGCGAAGATCCGGTTTTTGCAGAATATATAAAATGTATTCTGATGGATGAAAGGACCTTTCTTAACAACAACATTGTATACACCTTTCTGACCCATTTTCTTCTAAAGGTAGGTGGTCTTTCAGCAGTAATTTCTACTTCAAGAAATGCAGTCGTGTGTGCTGTTTCAGTTTGGGATACTGTTTTCACAGTTCCATCTTTTTGTGGTTTAAAAAAAATACGGTCTTTTCACAGGTGCAAGGGCAGGTGTTTTCTGAAGCAAACTGTGCCAACTTGATCAACACTCTCATTACAAATCTAATAAACCAGTATCAGAGCCTAGAATCTGACTTCAGCAACCAGAGAGTTGAAATTTCCAAAGCAAGCTCTACTTTAAATGGGGTGAGTCTTTTCTAAGCCATTCAAATACTGGCATCATTTAGGAGGCAGCTTATTTTCTGTGTAAACTCTTCAGTGCCAGGCTCTAATTAAAGAGGCGGCACCGTTAGCTCTACTTGATTCCTGAGCTGGACTCCTGGTGAGTGCGTGGGAGGGTGCTTTTAACTGGCTGGCTGGAAATGTTAACCCCTACCAACAAGACAGCCACAAATGTACAGAGCAGCACCTGAGCTCTCCAGAATCCTCCATTCCGCCTTGGCGTGCACAGCATGGCCACTTGGGTCTCCCAAGGTGACGGTGGGGACCCTAAGACTGGGAGCAGGCAGCTGATCGTGGGAAACAAGTAATGCAAAGTGCAGCAGAGTGACTGGAGAAACGTTCCAGCCCAGCAAAAGATTTTATCTCGCAGAGAGCAGCACAGTACTGTGAGCTGCTTAGCACGGATCTACGTTACAGCCAGCAAAGTAGTAGTGAGTGGGAAATTTCAGTAGTGGAAGCATATTGAGAATTTGATCTTTTGGATGTTCAGAACATGTTGAAGCCTCTGCTTATTGTCCAGATCTCGCTCTGTGTGGGATTAATTGAACAGCAGTTTGAAATAAGGCTGGTTAAGTTTGTTTACTTCTGTATTTTAGGACCTCCGAGCACTTGCCTTGCTGCTTTCAGTGCACACTCCCAAACAGCTCAACTCAGCCCTGATTCCAACTTTACAAGAGCTTTTAAACAAATGTAGAGCTTGTCAACAACAGAGGAACTCATTACAAGAGCAAGAAGCCAAAGAAAGAAAAACTAAAGGTTTGCCTTCTGTAATGGTGTCACTCTAACTGAGGTTTTACGAACTTTGACAAAATTAACAACATGCTGTTTTCTTAGCGCTGCAGGGGGGACATTTCTTCACTCCAATCCCCAACACTACACAAGAAATGTTATTTTATTACGGAGCTAAAATTCTAGGCAATTACATGAATTTCCTCTAAGGCAATAAGTATTCATTGAAGTCCTGTGTTCAACAGGGAAAAGAGTAAAAATGTGAAAGGCCCGTTTTCCTTAAGCGAGTTTTCCTTTTTCTTGCAGATGATGAAGGAGCCACTCCTGTAAAGAGAAGACGTGTCAGCAGCGATGAGGAGCACACTGTAGACAGCTGTATCAGTGATATAAAAACTGAACCCCGGGAGGCACTGACCCCAACGAGCACTTCAGATAATGAGACACGGGACTCTTCGATCATTGATCCAGGCACTGAGCAAGATCCTCCTTCCCCCGAGAATAGTTCTGTCAAGGAGTACAGAATGGAAGTTCCATCTTCATTTTCAGAAGACATAATGTTAGCGACGCGGTCACAGCACACGGAAGAGCAGTCAGGAAATGGTAAATTTGAAGAATGCAAAGAATTTAAAGACCTGCAGACTTCCAAGGATTCCATTGGAGCCGAGGAGGACTCGGAGTTCCCTTCCACATCGATTTCAGCCGTTTTATCTGACCTCGCAGATTTAAGAAGCTGTGATGGTCAAGCCTTACCATCCCAGGACCCTGAAACTAGTTTATCAATCAGTTGTGGCCATTCCAGAGGACTTTTTAGTCACATGCAGCAGCATGACATTTTAGACATCCTGTGTAGGACCATTGAGTCAACGATTCATGTGGTCACAAGGATATCTGGAAAAGGAAGCCAAGCTGCTTCTTGACATTAAATGGAGCATGTCTGCTTTTAAGTCTTTCTTTTTTTTTTTCTTCCCCCAAAATGCTGTTTGTATAAGTTTTGCTTATTTCTGTTTTGTGCTTCAGTTTGTCCAGTGCTCTCTGCTTGAATGGCAAGATAGATTTATATGCTTCATTCTTGGTCAGGCAGAACTCCAGATTTTCTTTTCTTTTCTTTCTTTGCATCTACCGTACACTTTCTTAAAGGGCAATCAGATAATGGGTATGTTTTATGTAATTAAAGAGTTCACTGTAGTGGCTTTCATTTAATATGGCTGTCTGGGAGAACAGGGCTGCCTTGCCCTGTATGATGTAATTTAAACTTATGACATTTTTACTGTGTATAATATGGTGTCCTCTGTGCCAGTTTTGTACCTTATAATAGAGGCAGATTGCCTCAGATCGCTGTGGTTCTTATTATCAAAATTAAGTTTACTTGTATACTAAACAACCACAAGAAATTTGATTCTGTAAAGAATCCTCTTTAGCTGTGGCCTGGCAGTATATATATGGTGCTTTATTTAACAGAATACCTGTGGAGGAAATAAAGCACACTTGATGTAAAATTAATTGTTTTATTTTTATTGACATGATCAATTGCTATTCTGTGCACTTCATTAAACTGATTGTGATGACTTTTCATTTGTTTATAATATGTTGCTTCAGTCTTTGGATTTCTCATCAAAGACAACTTCAAAAATGAAACGGCTGCAGAGAGACATGATGATGACATGTACGTAATTGATGTAAATCTCGGTCCTTTGCTGGTTTACTTTGCACGAATGTTCAGTCACACAGTTGAGAGGGATTGGTGGTCGTTTCCTTTGTTCCCCACTATGTTAGTACCTGAAGCGGTGTCATAAGCTGGTGGAACCTTTCACCTCCCCGGTTTTAACCTGTGATAGTCGTATTTTAATCCTGCACCAATTGCAGACTGACTTCCTTTCTCCCCTCTACCCGGGCTGCCTGTGGGGCCCACTCCACCTGGCTGTGCTCCCTCGCTTTGAGAACTTCTGCACCCCCTGCAATGCTGGAATGACTTAGTCACCTTTCCTGTCACATTTCTGAGCGATATCCATTTCCTATGTGATCTTTCAGACTGTCAATGATACTGGTTTTAATATCTGATTAAACTCCATTTTCAGCTTCATTTTCCAGTTGCTTAGCTCATTTGTTTTTCCGTTGTCTCCATAACACATCTATATCTTGGCCCTTTTTATTCCAAATTCCTTCATTCTGTCTACCATTTGGTGTATTTTGGCATCATTTGCTTCTCCACAGTTCTACGATGTGGTGCTTTTCCGACTCCTCTTACTCTCTTGGAATGTACTCTCTTTTTTTACCCTTTTAAAATTAATTAATAATTTCTGCCTTTAAGGTTTACACTTTATATTCCCCTTTATTAGCACTTTTACTCCTGCAGTTACAGACACTATATTGATGCTGGTGAGTGCTTATGTTGGTCTCATTCAGACATGAAGTAATTACATTTTCACTGTCTTTAGGAATAATTTTTATTACCCTTTCTGATCACCTTTCTCCATAGATTGTAACTTCAGAGAAATCATCAAGGGCTTCTAGTGAAAACTTCTACGTAATGAAGATCAGAATTCATCTATCAGTTCTTCTTAGGGTTAGGATGTCTTTAGGAAGACACCTATCAACCTAAAAATCTTCTTGGGCTAGGCTGGCCTCAAGCAGGATGAAAAGGTAGGTGCCTCACGTTTTTAACTTCAGAAAGTTCCTCCATCTTCTCAAACTTACGCTGTGCAGGCACGAGGGAACAAGACCACCGCTAAAGACAACATGTCACCTTCCATTCTCTACCCTTTCCTTTGAGAGGAAACAAGGGTCTGGCTGGGGTGGCTGCTCCTCGCACAGTCTTGGGCCTCCCAGCAGCAGCTGCCGAGTTTTCTGGGGGCTTTGGCAGCCCCACTGCTGGAAGCGAGTGGCACGACACTGGAAACACAAGTAAGTCACACCTTTGTTAACACTGATGATTGGCAACTGGTCTAGTTGATTACTCCTGCCAGTGGAAGGGGACAAGAAGATGCAGACTAGCAAAACATACGAGTCGTGGGCACTTGTGACCCTAAGGTGGAAGGGGTCTCTTAGTCGGGGCGGGGGGAACTGTATCCCAGAGCAGTAGGGTACACTGAAGAAACTTGTCACCATGTGCAACAGCCTACTCTCAGGTCCTACGTTGTCACAAAATCTCTTAGCTCGTCTACACACAAACCTGCTTAGCCTGATCTCTGCCTTAAACCTAGATTTTCTATTTTTATTTCAAGGTGGTCCCTTCGTCAACCAATACTCTACAAAAATGATTGATTCAAAATGTTAGTCTCTTTGTCCTTGCATATTATCAAAAAAGGTAACTAAATTTTGAGCCTTCACAAGAAGAAAGATGCTGAAACGTGACATTCTCAAGCAGCTGTTCTCCTCCCTCTCTCTGGACATCTCAAACAAAGCCATGCCACACTCGGTAACCAGTCTGTGCCTCTGCGCTGTCACCATGAGGTGCCTGGTCTGGTGACAACAAACCTCACCTAAGTTCAAAGGGGATAACTGACTGCAGACTTCGCAGGGAAAGCCTCGCCTGCAGAAAAGAGCAGCGCATCGTTACCTTCTGGATGATGTCAGTTTGTGTGTGGTAAGGCTGGCATCCTGTAAAAATAAAATACGTAGGATTTCCGTACAGACTCACTTAGTTTGGCAGTATCAGTTCATAGAGAAAATAAACTGCATGTAAACTTACATTTTATTGAGCCAACCATGTTCTCCAAAGGCAGCTTGCCCTTTTTTGGTCAATTTGTTTCAAATTGCATACTTAATTAATTCATACACGTTTTATAAAGCATCTGAGAAATAAGTTATCCTTGCTAACCTCAACGTGCTTTACTTAAGAGAAACAAATCTTTACTTTCAATATCCCAGCTACACTCCTGTCAAATTTCTCTAACAGTTGCTCACTTTCATTTGAGATACAGGATTGCAGAGGGCCATGAGTCATGGAAGTGGAAGGTTTACACAATTGCGAAACAAAAGCCCTATTACTGTTTGTTTCTTCCAAAATAAATTTCACGCTGAGGTCAAGTAAAGGAGTACAGTGCATGCAGACTTCATAGTGGGAACTGTCCCACCAAC